TTAGGCGTCTGTCATTATCCTGTGGGATCTTGACCACATAAATTAAAAAAATAAAACAAACTATAAAAAGAATAATACAACAAAGTAGGAATAAAGGCTTACATATCTTTCAACAGAAGAAAAACTTATACAGAAGTTTGCTTTTGGAATAAAGAATAAAATTATAGTTAATATTTACTATTTTACTATCATGATTTAAGTTGGTACACTATTGATATAAGTTCAACACAGAAATCAAGAAATTATAGTTGAACTCTTTATTTCATACAATATACATAACATGCTTTACATAGGGTATTTTTTACTAAAATTCAAATATTTTTATGTGACATTCATTTATTTATTTCTTCGTTGTTCCATCCATTCACTGAATAAGTATTTATTAAGCGCCTACTGAATTTAACCACTGTTCTAGGGGCTGAGGAGATGCAGATAGGCAGACACGCTCTTGTCACTGTCCTGAGAGCTTACAGCCCGCTGGGGAAATGATAACCCAGTTGAGCAGTAATGATACATCCTGATGAACACCATGGTAAAGGCATCACAGAGCTCTGTGCATAGGAACACAGGAGAAGGACACTGAAATTAGGTGAAGTGATCAAGAAAGCCTTCCAGGAAGATGTGCTAGAATCTGAAGCGTGCCTCCTCTTGACTGCAGGCCTCAGGCACGCTTTTCCCTCCATCTGCATCTGCCTGTCCTACCTCCCCCTTCTGTCCCCTTCTTCCCCGTTCACCTGCCTATCTCCTACTAATCATTCATTTCAGGTTACATATCACTTCCTCTAGAAGCCTTCTGTGAGTCCCTCAGTCTGCCCTAGGTGCTGAATTTGTTAGGATGTCTGTCTGCTTTGCTGACCTGAATGAATGAATGAATGAATGAATGAATGAATGAATGAATGAGAGACTTAACTAGGGAAAGTAGGTAGTTTTCTTACAATAGAGTTAGAAACGTTGTTGTTGGGACTGGTGGAAATGGAAAAAATGAGCCAGGGTGGAGAAAGTATAGGATAATGGTTTGCGAGATGTTAAATGATTTGAGAGGCCTGTATTTTGGGTTGTACTTGAGAATTATAAGGGTAAAAGGTTTATGTGGAATTAACTGGTTTAGGATTCTCAATTTACAGCAAAATTATTGTTTCAGTACTAGAACTGCCTGAAGGTTACGGCCACCATCAGGAGATATTTCTGAAGGTTCTACCTCCTAATATTAAAGTGCATCGCGGAAGTGATAGCAATGCTAGCCTTGTTGTAATGTGAAACAAGTAATTGTATCAGACAAATTTGAGTGATGGACTAGAAATCACAGCGCCAGGATTCTAATACCAGATCAGTCTTTTACTTAGGCAAGGAATTTCTCCTTTGTGCCTCATCTTTCTTTCTATAAAATGAGAATGATCAGTCACTTTCGACTTCAACAGGAATGTTTCCAGATAAAGAATGTATCAGCCATCAAATATTTATGGAGCCTACTATGTGCTTCAATGCCAGCATTTTTTTAAAAGCTGAGGATACAGCAGTAAATAAGAAAAAAGTGGCCCTGCCCTTTAGAGCTTGCTTCTAAAATGGAGGGGGCGAAGGTAACAGACAATAAGCAAAAAAGACAATATCAGCTACTGATTAGAGCTGAGAAGAGCATCATTTAAAAGAGCATAATATAGAGTGATGGGGCAGGAGAGGTGCTTTAGCTGGTGGTTCCAAGGACACCATTTCTGTGGAGATATCGTTACAATTTAATTAATAAGGAGGCGGGCATGTAAACAGATAGGGAAAAACAGTCAGAGCAGCAGGACATGAAATGTCAAGGTCCTGAGATAGAATGAGCGTGTGGTCTTAGCCCTGAAACAAGGCCAGTGTGGTTGGAGTGTGATAAATAAGCAGGAATGGAGAGGGAGACAAAATCAAAAGTTCAGCAAGGGACAGAGGCCAATTCAGGAGTTTGGATTTTATTCTCATTAAGATGGGAAGCCATTGAAGGATTTTTAAGCTAGAGGTTTACATGATTTTTAATATGTTTTACAAAAATCAGAATGACTTCTATATGGACTAGCGTGCAGAGGGGCCAGCCAGAATGAAAGCTGAGAGACAGACCAGTTAGTAAGTTAATGCAGACTATACAGAGCATGAGGATTAGATACATGGCAAAAGTCAAATTTTGAGTTAAGTTCCATATAGTTATATAATTTTAATCAAATCACCACATAAAATTTAATGTGGGGTTTGATTTTTTTTTTTTTGATAATCTTTAAAAAAAACCACCAATTCTGGTATGCTAGCATGTAGTTTGTGTTGCTGTTAAGTTTGTACTTAGAAGAATCTCATTTTGCCTAAGTGATTTCCTGGCTGGCAGTGTTGAATTTCTAATTAAAGATCTCAGGTTTGAGAAATTCTGCCCCACACAGTTTTGGGGATGTATTTGGAAGAATTTTGATGAATGATGACTCAGAATCAGATGATATCACAAAACAAGTCATTGTGGCAACTAAAAAAACAAGGAAAAATCTGAAAACGTATATTATGCCTCTTTCTTTCACAGTTATAGTGATATAAATCACTATAATCAAATCAGATTATGTAAAAGTAATCAAAATAAAAATATATGCATTTGCTATTGGTAGTACTTTTAATAAAGGTGTTCTAGAAATGATAACAAGCTTAAAGAAGGACTTGATTGTGGTTCCTGAATTTATACTATTTACTGTATTTGTAATAAGGACTTTTATTAAACATTTTGCTCTTAGCTCTAATTTCCTCAGCATGTAAGGAAGGAAAAAGAGGGGAGTAGGCGGGTCTAAATTAACTCTAGGGTCCTTTCCAGGTTGAAAAGTTTAATCCTTTAATCAGACTCAAACTATAGCCTTTGCTTTTTTTTTTTTTATAGCCTATGATGGTTGGAAGAAAAAGCACTTGGAAACAAAGAAAGTCACAGCATCATTGGAGGAGGTTTTAACAAAACTTCGAGAAGATTTGGAACTTTACTATAAAAAATTGCTTATGCAACTTGAAGCCAGGGAGATCAAAATGAGACCAAAGAATTTGGCAAACATCACAGACTCTAAGGTGCTACTAAAAGTGTTTACATTTTACTAGAGAAGTTCTATTCAAGATACAGTATATGCCATTTCATTGTTAGTATTATATTTTGGATGCTAGGAACACAAGTAGCAAGACCTTGATTTAACCTGGTTTAAATAAGAAAATTCATGATCTCATGTAATGGTTGCTAAGGAGATACAATCAGCATCTTAATGATGTCTGTAAGGGCTTAAGTGCTTGTAATATTTCCTCCCTATTATTTTCAAGTGTTGGATTCATTATAAGACTGCTTCCCCTCATGGTAGCAATAGAGCTGCCAATGGCAAGTAGGGCTGTCTCCCTCCATACCCAGAGAGAACCTCTCCCAGTTGCATGGAACATATAAAACTTTCCCTTTTGCCTGGTGGGGCCTTAACCAGGCCCACCGTGTACTAATGATGGTTACCAGAGAGTGCTATGTGCTGACTTAGACCAATTAGGATCAAATCTGTACCTGAGGCCAGGGTCACTTCCTCTGATTTTATGGGGAAGAGATTAACACGTGATGCAATACGGAGGGGCAAGAACACGTGATGCAATACGGAGGGGCAAGAACACACTTCTCTTTTTTAGTGTGTGTGGGGGTTAATAACACCCACGGAATCAGGTATTGACTTTCTAAAGAAATTATTAAATTATGTTTAATTTTCATCAATTGATTTTTTTGAGATAGTCTTGAATGTTGAAAACTGTGACACTTGAAGTTTATATTTTCGTCGAGTAATTCTACCACATATTTAAAGAACAAATTCCAGAGGCCACTTTTCAGTTTAACTTTATTGATTGATCCCACTTATCCAAAAAAAGATCTTATGGTAATTACCATTAAAAGCATGGTTTTAACTTAAGACATATTGAAACATTAAAAGTTCATTCTTTTGTATTTTCCCAATTTTATTGAGATATAAATGACATAATGTTGTATTAATTTAAAGTGTACAACACAATGATTTGATATAATTATATACTGTGAAATGATTACCACAATATATCAAGTTACCATCAATCACCTCACAGTTACACTTTTTGTTTGTAATGAGAACTTTTAAGATCTAATCTCTTTTAACTTTCAAATATACAATACAGTATTTTAAATTAGATACTATGCTGTACATTATATTCCCCAAACTTATTTATATAACAATTAGAAATTTGTGCCTTTTGGTCCCTTCGCCGATTTTCTCCACCCACCATCCCTGGCAACCACCAATATGTTCTCAGTTTCTATGATTAAAAGTTTACCATTTTAGATAAATTTAATGTAAAATCCTAATAGGCGCAAGCAACGATTTGCCCATATTAGCTGATACTTTTTTTTTGTAGCATAGCTGATACTTTTGGTTCTACTATTTTATCAAGTTCAATTTGCAATAATGTTTTTTCACAAAGGCAGTTTAAAATTCTAAATAATTTATTTGGTGACCATTATACCTCATAAACTTTTTGAACAAAAGTAACCAAAAAGACTTCTTATATTAAATAGGTTCTCTTATATTAAAAAAGTTTTCTTATATAAAATATACTATTTCATTATTAAATATTTTAATGTTATTCTAATGAAGAATTGTGCCAATTTCTAAAGCCTTGCTATGAATAATATCTTAAACCCAGCATATTCTTTTCATAGTAGTACTTATTGCCTTTTTTTAGTACTAATTTAATGGTAACTTTTACAAATATCTGTTTATTTTTATAATACATGAATAATGGTAGTAGAACAGAGAGAAAGTGGCCCCTCAAATGTAAGAAATCAAGAGATCAATAATAATTTACTCCAAAGCAATAAGTTTATTTCATGGAATAGGTTATTTTCATGATTTGCTTTTTGATATTTATAATCACATTGCAGTTTATATTAGTAAGACAGTTAAAAATAAAAATGTATATATGTTATCCTTAGTAAAGACATCTTTATATATCTCACACAGAATTATCTTATAATCCAGATCACTGAGGTACAGCATTCAATTGACCAACTTAAGAGAAAATTGGATGCAGACAAAATGAATCTCATCATAGAAGTTAAGGTAATTTGCATTTCTCCTAATCAGGTTATAACATTTATCCTGAAATAGAATATTTTGGTGTTTTAACTTCGGGTGTCAATAGCATAAAGGTAGTAAGGATTGACCATCTTAAAAGTGTTCCCTTAACAAAACAGATCACGAGTGAAAAAAATTCAATAACAACAAGTAAATCCTGAAAAGATGCATCTTATAACAAGGCCAAAGTAAAATTTAGGAAAATTCCCGTAAAAATTAAAACAAAAGGACCCTGTGAATCAGTATAAAGTCTCCCTAAAATATTTAAAAGAAGTGGTTTTCATGTATTGCAATCATTTGTAAATATGCCTGACAAACCACTAAGTCCTCTGATCTCCCATGGAATTTTTTTCCCCTCTCTCGGGCGATTATCTTATTGTCTCTGATTATTTATACACACACACACACACACACACACACACACACACACACATATATATATATATACACATACACATATATATATGCGTTTTATATATATATATATTTGAATGCTCTCAATTCACCTCTTTATCAGAAATAGCTTTATGACACAGAATAATGACCCCTTTCTGGAATCAGCACTGTCCAAGAGAACTTTCAGCGATTATGGAAATGTCCCATACCTGCTCTGGCAGATATGGCAGCCACTAGCCAAATAAGGATACCGAGCACCTGAAATGTACCTTGCTGGGTGACTAAGGAACTGAATTTTAAATTGCAGTTAATTTAATGCAAACAGCTGCATGTGGCAATTGGCTACTGTCCTGCACAGCACAGTTCCAGATTCTTTTTTCTAGCAGCATTCTAATGGCTGAGCCCTGGCTAAGCTCTAAGCACTGATAAGCTTAAAATAAAATACAGAAAAGGAAAAGGACAAAAAACAAATTTTAACAAAATGTGAGCATTTAGCAGTTATACAGTATGCACTCAAAAAATTTATTCATTTGATGAATGAAAAGTGTGTATACAAAAAAAGGAGAGAGCAAAATGGGAAATGTGTACAAAATTGGGTGGGAAAAGGGAGTAATAGAAATGCCCCAGCGCCTTCAGCTATGACTCTTTCGATGCTCTTTTCTTCTGGAAAGCCTGCACATTACCTCTTACCATCTTTGTATATTTTAACCTTATAAATGTCACTTATGAATGGTTTGAACCCGTATTAGAATAATTAGTACAAAAACAGGAAACACTAATAGGAAAAAAAACACACCAAGTTTTCAGCTTACAGACTGGGGAAAAAGAATCCTACTTTTAACCATAGTGCCTGATTGGCACATAGTATGTATTACTGATTTGTGAATAATTTGCCCAAAACTTACCTATGAGATTCAGAACTAGGAGGCAGAAAACCTAGCCTGAGCCTGTTGCAAGCATATTCAAGGTACGATAGCATAAGTAGCGCCTCTAAGTTTAATATGCGATCACATGGGGATTCTTTGGAAGTTCGCAGGATCTAAGTCAATAGGTCTGGAGTGAAGCCTGAGATTCTTCAGCCCTAAGAAGGTCCCAGGTGATGCGAAAGCTTCTGGTCCACAGACAACACATGGAATAGTAAGGGTTCTGGCACCAGATGGTTTGAGTTTGAATCCTGGCTGTGCCGCTTGCTAGTTTTATACCTGGAGTGAGTTACTGAACTTCGAGGCATCGCTGTTACCTCAGCTGTAAAATGGGGATAGTGATAGTATCTGCCTCAATAAAATTTTTGAAAGAATCAAAGAGGTTAATCCACTTAGAAGAGTGCTAGCCACCGAATAACACTTTTTTTTTTCTTCAGAATAACACTGGTATATTACTTGAGTGCCTGTTCAGTTTCTAAGGGTTGAGAATTAAGGTTTTTGCGATTTTGTTTTTTTTGAATTTTTTGGTGTGTGTGTGTGTGCGTGTGTGTGTGTGTGTGTGTGTGTGTGTGTGTGTGTGCTATTTCTTCACACTTGAGAACAAATTTTGAAGCTTTAGCAAAAGAATTTTTTTTCACTCTGGTTTTTTAGAACAGTTTAATTGTATCACAACTGTATATAACTAATCAATGAAATTATTTGATAGTTTATCTGGCAGTAAATAGCATGGTTATTCAATATGACTTTTGACTGATATACAGGGGGTGCCAGGAAAAAAACTGTATAAAAATTGTAATACTCAATATATACTGATAACAAAAGATGAATACAACTCACATTTGACTTCTGCAATTCCATGAGGTGCTCAAAGTGGTTATGATCAGCATAATTTTCATACAGTTTTTTCCTTTTTTAAAATGCATATACATTTTTTTTTGGCACCCTCTATATTTACCATAGTAATCCAGTGGGAGTGAAGGCACTGAAGGAAAATGAGAGAAACATTTAAAACAGCTAAAAAAAAAACCAAACCAATATTTAAATGACAATTATGTAATTTTAAAAGAGTAAAATGAAGTTTATATTTGAAAGATAATTATTTTTATAGATGAGAAAATAAGCAATTCCAGAAAAGCTTAACTGACACAGAACAAAATTAATACACCTTTACCACTTCAATTAGGTATGTTAATTTAAAACTTTTATTTGTCTAAGACTTTAAATATTTATTTGAACAGATTTGTTTAACCTTTGTTCTCCTTGGCAATGTTTTATGTAAATCATTAGGTTTATATTTTTTCACTTACATGTGTGTATTACAAAGGGTTTCAGAGAATACTAGATGTACATGTATAAAGGCAACATGGTGATTATTTGGATATTTTTGATGGTTTCAAATCTATTACATATTATTTGACAGTGTGTATTTCATAATTTTCAGTTTTTTCTCTTCTCTTTTTATTTTTTAAAGATTTTATTAGGGAATTGGGGAAGGGGAACAGCCAAGTTGTTGTCCTTCAATCTTAGTTGTGGAGGGCGCAGCAAGCTCAGCTCCCAAGTCCAGTGGCCATCTGGCTGCCCATAGGCAGCTTGAGGCTGCTCAGCTCAAGGTGCTGTGTCCAATCTTAGTTGCAGGTGGGCGTAGCCCACCATCCCATGCCAGAGTCCAACCAACAAGCTTGTTAGGAGCATGTGCTCTCACCAGCTGAGCCATCCTGCCACCTGTTGGTGGCTCAGCGGCAGCTCAGCTCGAGCTCAGCACACTGGCCCATGTGGGAATTGAATCGGTGACCCTGTTGCTCAGAGCTCGCACTCTTAACCAACTGAGCCACTTGGCTGGCCCCCATAATTTTCTGTTTTAAATAGTCTTAAAATTTAATAGTTATTGGTGTGTGTTTATTAATTGGAAAATTACCTTTTCAAATTAGTTTATAATGAGAATGATTATGTTTACTCTCACTTAGGCAGTAGTAAATAAAGTCAATCCAAAAAAATTTTAATAGCTAATATGACTATAAAACTTAATTATAAAAATAATAGTTTAGTAAATATGACTATACAGAGAGTGCCAAAAATGTATACACATTTTAAGAAAGAAAAAAATCTATTAAAATTGTAATACCCAACATATACCGATAACAAAAGATGAACCCAAGTCAAGTTTGACTTCTGCATTTACAAGAGGTGCTAAAGTGGTTACCATCAGCGTAATTTTAATAGTTTTTTTCTTTCTTTTCTTTTTTTTTTTTTTAAAGATTTTTTTTTTAATTGGGTAATTGGGGGGATGGGAACAGTGCTGGGGAATTGGGGGAAGGGGAACAGACAAGTTGCTGTCCTTTTGTTCTTCAAT